ATTGTTACCAACTACTTCAGCAATATAGTCAGCAATAGATGTGTAGTAGTCTGTAGTACCGGTTGAAATGACATAGCATAATATAAAATGTCAATTTCTTTAACTCTTCATCATGGAGTGAAATATTTCTCTTGTTTACCATTGAAGTTTTGAGTATTGGTTCTATCATCATGGACAATCTTTTCCTTAACTTTTGAAGTGGCAGTTGCTGTTAATGCCATTAATGATATACCAGGAAAATGAGACTTTAGATGCAAAAGCAGTCTATATTCAGTTCTAATAAAACAATAAGTTAAAATTAGAAACTTCAACTTTTTGTAGCCATATAATTATTGTATGGATGATTTTTGGACAGAAAGTTTTTGGCAGCTTTTTTGCAAGAACCACTTTCAAGATCTTACAGAGGCATTTTTGTGCCCATATAGTATATGGTAATTACTAGTGTGTATATTCAAGTGTGTGTGAGTGTGTAGTAATGCTTGTTATATCATGGCCTCTAATTGAAATTTTGCTAATCCTTATTTGGTGATATGGGCCTACGCAAAATTATTTCCACATGAAATAAACCAGCTATAGGGTAATAGCTAATGAGTTGACTGTGTAGCATACCTGAATGATTTGCAACAATTTATGGGATGAGCTTCATCCACTGCAATGAGACATATTTCTTTGTTTCTGGCCATTGATAGAAAAATTTGTCATGGTTGCTGTTGCTTGTCATAGAAAGATTCTAAACAAGAGTATATTTTTACAGGTTATTTAATATGTTGTGCTTTTGAGCAGAACTGAGGAACGTAGCAGAAACACCATGCTACATACTTGATCACACATGAGACATATTGTCGATGAAATAACAATGGCCAACTTTCCAGTAAGTAATGGTGGAATAACATAGCACATTAATTTTCCTGTGCCAGTTGGTTGAATTATAAGCTGTCTTTCCCTTTCATAGCGTTTTTAATTGCATTCATCTGCCATTTATGAATACTTGAGAGCATTAAATGTTTTGCTACTAGGCTTTGAATAACTAAATGATTGTGATTAAAACTTGGGTTGAGTTCTAAACAAAAGTTTCATTTTAAAAATCACAAAATTCAATAATTATAAATACCTTCAAAGCAGCTATCTATGGCTTAATTGTTAAAAGGTTTTATATTGTGGCCACTTCTGTTAACATTTTTATGTCTCAATGATGAACACTTCACACAATTTGGCAGTTTACCGTCTTCACAATTGTCACTGCAGTTGTCAAACCTAGCATTTATTAAGGATGGTATCTTGAATAGAAAAAGATGGTAAAGTATCAACATTGTAGAATCATTCTCCTGTAGCAAAGACATATCTCCATGTTCCTTTTCTACCCACAAAACTATCCCTTCCTTTGACTATTGTAATGTCACTTCACACCATTTCATTATCTGTTTAGCACTTTTTAAAGACATGAGTGCCTTTTGTTTTAGTACAAATAATATACAATGCATGACATATATTAAAGTCTTTAAATTAACAAAAAGTAAAATTTAAAATCAGTTACTTTTTTTTCAATGATAATGATACTATAATTATGGTAGTACACATGTAGACCATAAAAAACGGAGTTATTTAGGTTCTTCACAAATTGAATGATAAATAATCTCAGTAATTTCAAAAGCATCATCATTCCATTAAAGTTATCTTAAACACACACATCTCCCTCTATCAAATCAAACTTATCTTTATAGATATGGCCTTGGCAAATGTATAATTATGTGAATATCATGTATTTTGTTTTAGAAATAAATCCCCCCAAATTAAATAGGGGTAAAATAGTGCAGCTGTCACTAATTCTTACCTGTAATATTGTAGGGACAAAAAAGTGCAGCAAGCACTGATTCTTCCCTAAAGTACTATAAGGACAAATTAGTGCCTGCTGCACTATTTTGCCCCCATATACTTTAATTGTGACAAAAAATTGCACAACGCACTAATTCTTCTATATTGTAGGACAAAATAGTGCAGAATGCACTGATTCTTCCCTATAGTATTGTAGGGACAAAATAGTGCAGCAGGCAGCCAGGCACTAATTCTTCCTTATAGTATTATGGGGACAAAATAGTGCTTGGCACTAATTTCTGCCTATATAGATAGGTCAAATTGTATAATGTGTATAATGTGCCTAGTCACACCATTATGTAGGAAAGAAATAGCACTATTTTTTACCCTCTATAATCATGGATTTCTTTTATTTAATGATATCTTATATAAGCACCCTGTTTGTTATGCAAAGGTCTTTAGTGCAATCTGTAATGGTTTATTTTTAGCCAAGAGTGTTGCAGTTGTTGAGAAACTTATCTTTGCTATTTATTACTTCTTTCCTTTGTTAGAGAAGAGAAAAGAAATTAAAAGATTGTGATTCCTGTGTCACTGTTTCTAGAGTCGATGTACCATTGCCTGTTGTGCATGTAAGTTCTTCTTCAATAATTTTTAGTGAGTACCTATTTAAAATACATTTAAAGTACATTAATTAAGCAGAAATTGCATGCATTTTGACTCAAAACTAGTTACTTCTGTTGTGCCTATTTGGGCAATCTCCTGCCTAATAGATAATGTTTTAAGGAGTGTCTGACTTTTGATACCACCATGATTAAGTTTGCTTTTGATACCACCATGATTAAGTTTACTTTTGAAACCACCATGATTAAGTTTACTTTTGATACCACCATGATTTTACCGCCATCATTTCAAAAATAGTGTTCAAATGCACTATTTCCTTCCTACATAATGGTCCTACTTTACTTTTAGAGATTTCCTACTTTTAGAGATTTTGAGTATTGTTAATAAAATTTTTCTTGAAGTGTGCAAAAAAACTTCAAAAGTGATTGATCCAGTGTAATTAAGAATCATTCAGTGTAAAAAAGAAGTACAATGTATTTGTACAAGGAGTGGACAGGGTTTTGTCCTTCTAATGGCTGGCTATTTATATTTGTAGATTAATTTTGGAATGAATATTAGGATGTAAAAATGGCTACTTAGTGATAATCACCATTGTTTTAAAGAACTACTGTAATGTGATCTTTTCAGACCTGGGGTCAATTACAATTGTAATTATAATTTAATGGTCAATTACAATTACAGTTGTGTAATTGTAATTGAGCTTCAGCTTACGTAATTGAAGTTTCAGTTATATTACTAACTACAGAATGTACAAATACACAAAGAAATGTTTTTAATGTACACTAGTGTCTATTGGTTTATTTGATAACTGCAAATCACTACCTGATGTAAATTCTAAGCCACAGTGTAAGCATTGCAATGTATCTTGTTGACATCAAGTTGTAATTGTAATTGAAAATGTAATTGAAATTACACTGTCATGGTGTAACTGTAATTGTAATTGAGCCTCTTCTTGCAAAAGGAGTGTAATTGAATGCGTAAATATAATTGAGCTTTTGTCATTGACCCCTAGTCTGGATCTTTATATCAGTAATTTCAATGATTTTGCCAAAAATATCTGTCACTTTAGCTAACCTCAGGCACTATTCATTTAATTTCTA